CACCGCCTTGCCCTGCCAGGACGCGGCATGCCAGGGCCCGGGGTGGTCGAGGTCTCGGGTAGACACATGAACTATTGCTGACTGAGTTATAGGCATATCAGAAACCGCGACGCAAGATGAGATCAAGAAAGCATACCGCAAGGCGGCGCTGAAGTGGCACCCTGACAAGAACAAGGACAACCCGCAAGCTGCTGAGAAGTTCAAAGGTATGTACATTATCTCACTAGCTCATATAGACTGGATATAGTATGCTAACAGCACGTCCAGAATGCTCACAAGCCTACGAGATCCTCTCCGACCCCGAGAAGCGCAAAACGTACGACCAATACGGTCTCGAATTCATACTACGCGGCGGCGTACCACACCCTGAAGATGCTGGAGGTGCTGGAGGTAACCCGTTCGCGGGTGCTGGAGGCGGTGGAGGCTTCCCCTTCGCATCGTCGGGTGGCATGCCCGGCGGCACACGCTCGTTCCACTTCTCGACGGGCGGCGGCGGGAACGGCTTCAACTTCTCCAACGCCGACGATATCTTTGGCGAGTTCATGCGCAACAGCGGCGCCGGTGGTGATGACTTTGATTTCGGCGGCTTTGGCATGGGCGGTATGCCTGGCGGAATGGGTGGTGGTATGGGCGGTGGCGGCGGCGGAGGTGGAAAAGGCGGACGATTCCGCGGCGGACGACGAGCACCAGAGCCTGAAGTCACAGTTGTGGAGAAGCCGCTTGCGGTGAGCTTGGAAGAGCTGTACAACGGCACCACGAAGAAGCTCAAGATCAAGCGCAAGACATACGACCAGGGTACCGGCAAGCAAAGCACGCAAGACCGGATTCTGGAGGTACCCATCAAGAAGGGGCTGAAGGCCGGCAGCAAGATCAAGTTCTCAGACGTCGGCGACCAGGTGGAGGGTGGAACACAAGATCTGCACTTCATCGTTTCTGAGGTAAGTCTTTGCATTCCCAATTCACGCAAAAATCGATACTAACGACACCACAGAAACCACACGCAATGTTCACCCGCGAAGGCGACGACGTCAAACACACGATCGAAATCGACCTCAAAGAAGCCCTTACCGGCTGGCGCCGAACCGTCCAAACCATCGACGGCAAACAACTCAGCGTCGGCAGCGGCGGTCCCACAGGTCCCACCTGGACAGAACGATACCCCAACCTCGGCATGCCCAAGTCCAAGAAACCCTCAGATCGCGGCGACTTCATCGTCGGCGTAAAGATCAAGTTCCCCACCAGCTTGACAAGCGCACAAAAGGAGAAGCTGAAGGAGATACTGTAGTTGGACTGAGGGAAGGAACATCTACTCTGTGCATCAAAAGTATGGGCATGGTATGGTGATGGGACGAACTTTGATTCTCGTATATCATTTGCATTTCTTTATCTTATATCACGCCTATATATGCTCGAAATGAGCCAAACGAAGGCGTCGGTGGAGTTCTGATATTTTTATTGTTCGTTTGGAAGGGGTAAGGCCAGCGCGGTGGGATGCTGGTGAAGATGATTGGGGATGACATATATGAAGTAACGCGTCTATGATAGACGAATCAATGAATTAGTATACTGTGCGAGCAACTATTTGCCCATGTGTGATGGCGGTATTGTTTAAGACTGCGAACGCTCCTTCCTCGGTGACGGAAAGAGCGATCGCTGGCTGGCGCGTTTTAGCGCGTACAGCTACCGCGTCCCCTTCTCATCCATCCTACCGTCACCATCATTCTCTCGAGACATCCATCGTTTAATCGGCGAATACAAGCAACCGCTCCCGACACGGTCACCGGCATCGGAACCTGCAATCAATATGTGCCACGGGACTGCATCATCGCCCGTGCCGCGAAGATGCATGCTGCCCCGCCTCTTGGCTGTCTCTCTGTTACTACCTTTTTGAACGCGACGAGATGAAATCTATCACAGCTTTCTCTGCATTCTTCTGCTCTTCTGTATAATTCTTGGTCTATATCCATCGACAGAAATGGTTACTCGAAATCTAGACATTGGATCCGCGGATGACAAATCTACGACGCGTTCCGACTCGACTGTGCCTGCGCATTCCGTCGCCCAAACCGAAGATGATGAAAGCCACAAGGGTTGTGGTACGAGATTACTATTTACGCAGAAGTATACGTTTGTCCGAAGAAAAGGGGCTCCCAGGGAAGCCCCGAAGATGCCAGACCCGATCCCAAGACTCAACACTATCTCGGGACTTCGACTCGGGGCTGCTGCTGATTGCCATAATTGCAAAATTGTGCTCGACGCTCTCGTTTCCTACAGCAGTGGGCGACTATCAATTGATAACATCGAGCAGATTGAAGTGCTACCAGGAGAGGAGCCAATAACAATCATCTATCGGCCAGGCTTGGATGCGGGCGAGGGGTCTAATGATTCAGGGCTTCGCGAAGTAAAGCTGGAGCTATTTCAGTTGGAAGGTGAGTCGTGTAAATGTGTGCATGTCTCTTTTTAGTGAGGGGAATAGGTATACGATTGATCATACTTTCGCCCTACGATGGACCTGAAAATTCAGGGCGTCTGTGAGTAAATTGTCTTTGGGATGAAAGGGCTCAGAATACGATTTGAGTCTGTGGTTTCTAATTCTCATGCAGGTCAGACATCACAGGTCGCGCGCAATTACTCGTTCTGGAGAGCACCCATACCTACGAGGAAACTGCCATCGGAAGACACGTCGTCAGACCGAGCTCTGCAAACATTGCACAATTGGATTGAAACCTGTGTTGAGCATCATGGTGATTGCGCTGGACGTAAGATCACACCGCTTCCAAAACGAATCCTCGAGATAGAAGGCACGCATGTTTATCTTCGCGAAAGAGTCAACAAAACAGCCATGTACGCTTGTCTGAGCCATTGCTGGGGCGCAACAGGTCCCGCAATTAGGTTGGAGAAGACGTCTTTCGCTCGTCTGAGGGAAGGTATAATTATCGATCAGCTACCGGAAACCTTCGCACACGCGGCTCAACTGTGCAAGAGGCTTGGTATTAGCTTTCTCTGGATTGATGCCTGCTGTAAGTTCTTATGTCCTGTCATCATAATGTAACGTATAGGTAACTATAGCTCGTATGTTCAGGCATCATGCAGGACAACAAAGACGACTGGGAAGAAGCAGCAGCAACGATGGCAACTATCTATGAACAGGCCCATCTTACCATTGCAGCTACAGCCGCTAGCAATAGCCGCTCTGGTCTGTTCGCGTTAGACCGGGAAAGATTTAAAGCCCAGAAATTAAGGAATTGCGAGCTATACGTACGGGAGAAACCAGACAGGTTCCCTCTCCCTAAGTTCCCTTCTAAGGGCTTTCCGCTTCTGACTAGGGCTTGGGTGTATCAAGAGCGACTCTTATCGCCACGAATGGTTCATTGTGGCAAAGATCAGGTAAGCTATAGTGCTCGCATCCTTGGGACACCCATAGTATTTGACTCACGGAACGGTACCGGGGTATCTTGAGCCGAATTGGCAGCTTAGAAACAGGAAAGATCGTCTTTTGCTCGTTTAGAGTACTATGTCGAACGACTAACTCACTATGCAGATGTATTGGCAATGCCCTACTGTATTTATGACAGAAGGCGGCTCTACTATCGAACAACGCTGGAAAACTGATAGAATTTGGGAATCCAATGACGATCCAGTCAGCCGCTGGCATCAAATAGTCACTACCTATTCCGGTTTAAAGTTGACGTACGAGAACGATCGGTTACCGGCAATTGCTGCTATAGCTGAACGAGAACTGCAATGGCGCAAAGAAGATACATACGTTGCTGGTATGTGGACAAGCAGTCTGCTTTCCGATTTGCTCTGGTACGTCCACAATGCCTCAGGTAGTCCTTTGCTGCCGCGTCTTCCAAACTCCATTCCAATGTGGTCGTGGCCGTCCTCGCGAGACAATATTCACTGGAACAGCGGATCGACCGTCCCGTCTCTGAGGCTACTTGACTTATCCTTTACTCGGGTCGGGCCGGCTCATATCGGCGAAGTCACGAATGCCAGTATCACTCTAGAGGGCCACACATGCATGACTCGACTCAAGCAGGTTCTTGAACCAGAAGTCCTGTATGGTGATTGTATGGAGATGATACGTCCCCCATGTGAGGGCAATGAAGTGAAGAAGTCGTGTGATACGTTCATGGACTTCGATTAAGCCACCGATAACCCGCCTGTCACGATTGGAGACACCTTCACCAGTATTCTGATGAAGATTTGCCCAAATTTCGGTGGCCGTTGTTTCGGGCTTGTTTTGCGAGAGTTGACCGATGGCAGCTTCAAGAGAATGGGAACTATCAATATCGAGATCGAACCAAAACGGAGGGTCGGATTGTCTGGAGAAGATGGTTGCAAGATGCTCAGCGATTACGTCGAAACACTACCCATTCGACAAGTCAAGATTATCTGAAGAGAAGGTAACAGGCGGCATACCTGTTTGGGTCAGCGACATCTCTGCGCTTCTCGAGCATTAATGACATCGTGCCACCTGAACCAACGTCATGCGAGACCCTCTACAATCACCACGAACATGCCTTATCTGGTCATTACGCGCGCCTGGAAGCGCGCGTATACCTTCAATCATGTATGATTGAAGATATGCATTCTGAGCGCTATCGATGGGCCAAGTTTCCTCGTGGGAAGGCCGCATCTTCAGCACTCGTATAAGCTTTTGCAGGTTGCATATCACTCTAGATATCCTGAGAAGTTTCCCTCTTTTGCCCGCTGGCTGTTGTCTCGGAGATCATCATGTCCAATCATGAGCAAGTTCGGCATGGTGCTGATATCGTGCACTCAGTCAGCAAGTTTGCTCTCACCTGCAGATCAGGCTTGCGATCATGTTTGCGACGATACTGCAACGAAGCCACCTTCACCTGTACTTACCAGACCCTGTAAATTCTCGCTCACCTCGACTATCGCCTTTCGCGCCCGTTATTGCCTTTAGTCCACTTTTCGCATCTTGAAACTTCTACCCTACCTCTTGCGACCTACCAAAAGCGATCGCAAAGATGGTGGAGCCAGCGGTCTTGCCGCGCAATTTAGCGTAGTAAGTTCATCGACAGGGTTCATTGGCCTGACTAACCAGTTTTGACAGTATCGACACCGCGAAGTTGAACAAGCATGTGAAGAAACTTCATGACGCGGACACCTTCACGCCGGTTATGATCGCACAGTCGCAATCGCACGCCTCCGCTCTCGCCGAGAACATCTGCTCTGATTACAAGCTTCTCAACGACACTATGATTCGACACGAACCATTGATCAGGAAGAGATGGAGCAAGAAGTCGGTCGCTCAAAGGAGTGAGATTCTGCGAGCTGCCTGCCCAACAATCGCTATGGAGCACCAACCGGACTTCGCATGGCGACACCAAAATATGCTATTTGAAGAAGGCGCTGGTCCGAAGCCCAAGGAACACGTCGACGTAATGCTTTGGCCATTCATCAACCTGGAGGATCTTACGAAGCCGAAGTCCTTGCTCATTTACCTGAACTCGAGGGCCCGCAATCTACCATGGACCTTTGCGACGGGTGAGGTTGCTTTCTCTCAGTATGGCGTCCTATGTTCCAGTTGTAAGCCGCGTGAGATGTTGGCGACTGTACACTTCATGCCCAATACCGACCCTACAGTATATGGCCAAGTTCGGAGAGTTCATGGCTGCTGTGGTCAAGTCGACGGGGAGATGATTCATTGCGATCTCATCCAAGGCTTGCAGATGTTGAAAATGCAGCAGCGCATCATGAGATTTCTGGTTTCGTGTTGCCGATACATCTTACACGACATGACAGAGGAGGAGATGCTGTCTGGACCAGTCTTGGAAGAGCCGCCAGTCTCAGAAATCCTCTTGCCAGTGGATGGCAGTCATGTCAATCTCGCCGACACCATCGCGATAGCGCCTTATATCAAGCGAGGGGATCTGGAACTTGCCAGACTTCGAGGCTACGTCAACGCGATGTACAGCGAAGCTAAGGATCATGTACTGTCTCTACGAGAAGATCCCTCCTATCTTGCGGACACAATTATCGACAATTCGGAACACAGCCGTGAGCTTATTCCGGATGCATGTGGTCGAATCGATCAATCTGTTGATACTCCAGAGTTCCTTATGGGTGTCACAAGTCACATAATCTCACAGTCATACCAGAGGCTGATAATGTGGTCCGAAGTCTCGGCAAGACTAGATCAGCTTTGCTTGCACGCCCAGAACGGTACCGCTACCAAGAGTCAGCTACAGAGTGTCCTTGATCTGGAGGCGCTACTTGAGCGCGCCCGAAGTTGCCTCGTGGGAGACGTCACTAGCACCAGTATGGCGTCACCGACGATGCGGAACTACTATGAACGCATAGTTTCTGGATCAGGAGATGGTCCATATACACAAATCGCCATCGCAGGAGGACACACACTTCCAACGGAGGGCGAAGCATGGATGCTGAGCGTGTTTCATCGTCTGCTGGCTTTCAGTCAAAACGACTCTCGGAAGAACATTAATGGCTTTGCAGAGATGTCTGGGGGTGAGAAAATCAACGTTGACATTGATCTACACGCCACATTGGACCGTCTAGACACTCTCTCACGCAAACATCAAAGCGCGCGCGCTATGCTTACAGCTCCTTTGTCGTCTCTCATCAGCCAGCTCTCCGTTGTCGAAGAGTGTCTTCATCAGATTGAGTTATGGAAGAAGTCATCGGAAATCTGGATGCTACTTTGCACATCCGGTATGAAAGCCACAGAGTCGAACGAGGGAGACTTCTCGATAAATTGGGCTTATTATATCTATGCCTATAACGTACCCGCTTATTTGGTCAACCCAGCGCGAGGAAAGCTACGCTATCCCATCGATAAGCCGCGAAACGCTCAGAACGTGAAGACAATGCGAGACTCGGAGTCAAATCTTGACAAGTTCTGGAGTTGTATCGACTCTTTCTACGAGCGCAGGACGGGTGTTGCGCAAGATGAAGTGGTACGTCGATGCCTCCTGGAAGGTGGTGAGATGCGCCGAACTGCTCCGTGGACTGGCCCAAGCGTTCCCACAGAGTGCTTCAAAAGCATCGAGTACAAAGCCATCAGCAACTACGACCACGATGTTGCACTACAGATTACCGGAACCTTCGATAAGCCGGTCACACGGGGTAGTGCCAAGCGAAAGAAGCGCTACCATGCTCCTGTGGACATCACGCCGATGACTCAAGTTCACGAGATCGGTCATCCAAGCCCCGAGAAGAAGCCCGAGAGAATCTACTGCGTCGACAAGCGTGCCCACAAGGTGTTCAAGACCCTCTTTCATGTCCCTCTTTCATGTCCCTCTTTCAGATCTTGGAGAGACACCGAAAGCGATCAAGTGGGACGACTTCAAGCGCGCTATGATTCGAGCCGGCTTCTCTGCGGAAAAACTCCAAGGCTCAGCCTGGCAGTTTACTCCTAGTGTTTCTACGGATGTCGCTCGTGGCATTCAGTTTCATGAGCCTCATCCTGATAGCAGCATCCCCTACATCATGGCTCGGCGCTTTGGCAGGAGGCTGCAGAGGGTATACGGCTGGCATGGTGGTATGTTCAAGTTGGCTTGAGCGGAAAAAGAAGCCGGGAACGGAGCAGTTGGCCAAGCGAGGGTTGCAGATCGTGCGACACATCTACACACGCGTGCAGAGGTACTTTACTTATCGTTGCGATGGTCATTCTTTTCTTTCTATTTGGTTTATTCGTTCAGAGAAGCTTTGGTTCTACATGCATGGCTACGTTTCTCAACGTTCGAGTCTGAGACTCACACGCCGCAAAGAATGCGCACAGGCTTTCCAAAGTTCATCATCACATTTACGTCGAGGTTCAGCATCGGACCACTACTACGTAGCAAATCCAAAGTTTCATTATAGCTTCCATCTTGTGTGAAGAGCCTTAGCATCAGTTTAATGGAGCATTTCTCCTATAAACCGTGTCCGACCTTTCAATAATCACATGCCCGTCGTACCTTCTTTCATAGTACCACCATCTGTCTGGATGCACTGCAACCTCATGCGCGCCAATCGCCATATTCCCAAGACAAAGCTCTTCGATATCCTGCTTTAGCTGTGCATCATTCGAGTTCTCACTGGGCAGCCGCAGGCTACGGATGTGTCTGGCTGGAACTTCACCAGGCCTGCTCAAATCGAGGACGTAACTCGCCGCCTAGAGAAGGAGCTTGGCCGCGGGATGATGACCTGACGACGCCGAAGGAGCATTGCTAAGGTTGAAGGTGTGAAGCACACCGCGGACTGTTCCGATCGCGCATGGAAATAAGTGATACCCTTGCTGAGAGGATGTGCAGCGCGCGTCAATGCTCACCGGTTCAAGAACCTTCTATAAGTAACTGCCGCGAGTTCCACGCCGTATCCCTCCCGTCGATCATCCTCGATCGTCCACTCAACCCAAAACGCCTCTTGCGATATCACCCCAATCTCCCGGGATACATCGCATCTATAGACACGACGCTGCACCTAGCGCTTTTGATGTCTTGTCTCTTCGCTATAGTCAGAGCGACTGGCGAGACAAAAGATGTGGCCTCCCTTGACAAGCGCCATTCAAGTGGTACGTTGTGTTGCAAGCTCTCCACCTCTGACACCTGACTGGACGTCGATTTTCGGACATTGAGTTGGCGCTCCAAATCCGACGGGTGCGTTATGTCTGAGCGGCTAGAGTGCGCACGATCTTGGATGACGCGAACAATTTGACTGAGTACTGCGAACTCAATCTTGAGCTTGAAGCTATAAACAAGTGATTTGAAGGTCGTCTGTATCATGTAGAGATTCAAGAACTCCGTCGTAAGCAACGCGATATCCAGTATCAGCAGGAGTATGCTCATTGCGACGAGCTGCCACATCCACTTTCTAGCCTTTCCGTCAAAGATTACACGCATCAGCTTGCGAGTCTCCCAGAGGTAGATGCAGGATATCGAGATCTCCTGGATGGTGAACAGAGTCATTTGTATTTTCTCCATGACCATGTAGCCGCGAAGGTATCGCTCTGGGTGATTGGTGAATAACCGTAGATTCAGGACTACGGTCGGCACGCAAAGGCATACTGCTGAAACAACGATGACCCAAAAGATGAATCGCAGAAGCCTGAGGTTCGGCGATATCAAGTGTAAGCGCGTGTACAGAACCATGGATTGTCCGGGTACCATCAATATCCATCCGATTGTAAGGAGGGTATTGTAAATTCGAGGGTCATGCGCAACGCTGTTTTGTTTCATCCATGCTCCTGAGACTGAGTTAGCCATCACCACTGCCAGTCTAGAAGTTTATGCCTACCTGTCGCATACGGCACAATGCTGAGTGTGTTAACTATCAAACTCCAGAAGTATAGACCAGTGTACCGTCTGAATACGACGAAGATGAGGATGATGAGCTCAATCGAGTTGTACCACGCGATGGCTGTGAATGCTGTCATTGCCCGAGGAAGAACGCGATTAGTGCCGAACACGTCGAAGTTGGCGCCGGTGATGCCGTTGGCATTGGTGACGTTCACCATCTTGTCGAGATTGCTATGCAACTAGACTTGAAGCTTTGATTGAGTGTTCCACACACCACATTATACTTCGTAGATGATAAGCCCCGACGTCTCCATTGACCGCACGGAGTGTGTGATATTGAAGCCACCGGCGCAATGTAAGCATGTGTAAGCATCGTCGGATCTGGTCTAGCGTCACCGCATACCGCTATTTTTGTGTTACGTGTTGGCCATGTATGGCTGCCAACACCAGATAGGTCAGAAAAGGCGCGCGAATCGATACTGTATATCGGAGTACTAGATCGTGAAGATACCGTGCTGTGCTGGCTGACACATCGACGTGGCTGCTGCGTGGAGATGGAAGCGAACACCTACCAGCCTATGCTGCACCCCGAAACGCTATGTATAGCCTCTCGAGTCCATCTTTCACAGGAAGTCCGAACTGAAGTTAGACGATAGACAAATAGATCAAACCCTATCATTGGGATTATGTAGACTTTGCGAAGCTACCTAGGTATACTGATGATCATTGTGGGGCGGGGTAAAGGATGCTGTAGTAAAGCAGCGTTGGAAGCAAGACGCGGTGGCCAAAGATTCTGCGAGGATACGCGGATAGGGTGATTGTGTCCAAATGGAAGCGCGCTTGGTCGTTTACTCGCGTTGTAGGTCGACGTGCATCGCGATGGACAGTGGGATGAGGGTCGCGTCGCGTCGCGCGTCAGGTCCGGACGCATGATTACTCAGATATGACGTAATACTCGATCCATTACGAAACTCCAACGCGTCTCTCCAGCCACCCCATCTCAAACATCTTTCACGCGACGACGCCATCTCCAGGTCCTACAATTTCTTGCCGCTGTTTCCGTCTTGAGAACGTCCGAATGATCGAGTTAACGTAAACGAAGTGACAATGGGTCGCACGCGTCGTCTTTTAGCACGTATTGTCCGGCATCGGGAGAGAAAGGGCATGATGCCGATGGGTCACTGTTGAGAGTCCAAGCCCAGATATCTTGATCGAAGTGCTTGAAATCCTAGCTGCCTGGCTACAATTATCCTAAGCCACCCATACGCAGGTGTGTGAGCGGGAAGTTTCTAATTGTCCTGTTCATCTTTACACATCACCAGTCTCATTCCATGTCATCTGCGGATCGTGTCTTCAAAGGCTATCGCACCTTCTTTTGTATTCCAGCGCGTCGGCAATCAGATCAAGAATAGTAGCATGTTTTCTACCGTCCTACGAGCTACAAATCGGCGTCGTCACTATCTCTACTACAAGGTTATCCTTTGATCATCTCAGGGCTGCCTGGAAAGGGCAAAGACGCGATCCTCGAGCGCTGTTCCACCTGTGAGGTGCGCAATGTATCCCAAGGCTTGACGTCAGAGAGATGTGTTTGTATCTTTCTCCTCCTCTTTCACTTTCTTGAAAGTACCGCTTTTATGGCCGCTTGTGTATGGAGACTTGCTATTGTCGATGAGAAGTTGTAGCTTCGTGTCGCACTTCTTAGAATTTCTGCGAGCGCTATCTTTGATTGGGCGTTGCTGGATCTTTACGCCTGGAATATCCTATTTGGGTAGATCACGTTCGCACGTTTTGCTATTATGACGCATTCACCTGGACTCAATCACGCATAGATATTACTGGCTCAATGAAAGTCGGTATTCAGTCGCTGCAGTCCTATAGGTCCCTGTCGCACGCGATATCTTGGCCAAAGCGTCGCTCTCACGACCTTCTAGTCACAATACCCCGCTCAGTCGCATCACACCGCGAATCTGACCTACTTTCTTGCAATACTACTCTCAATTCCTCTGCCAGATACCTCTTTTCCTTCGACCTGTATCTTCCCGCAATGACTACCACAAGCTCCGCCCCCGTCTTCACCCCTGACGGCTCCTTGTCCCCTCATTTGGTTGAGTATCTGGAGGCTATGGAGGAACGCATTATTTCCCGTCTACTCGCCGCGCTCCGCCCGATGTACGAGGCTGGCGCGCTGCAACAGATGCTCGCTAAGATGATACCGGTCGTCGTTGCTTCAGTCCAGGAAGCGATGCGCACCGAGATATCACCGGCGGACAACAACACCGTAAGTCTTGCGCCGCGTGATGAGCATTCACCAGACTGACGGAAAACAGACCCCCAGGTCGAGACCTCGTAAGGCTTCTCGCAACCAGAGATCACGCCGCTCTGCTATCGTCGCACGGTCACACCTCCAGCAGTACGAGAACGTTACCGGGCAACATAAAGACGTGTTCGAGGACCTTTGTACCGCCTTCAGAGTTCTGAAGCCTCACCAAACCTTTGACGAGTACTATCTGGATGTCGCGAGCAAGAAGCCACTACCGTCACTTTCGAAAGCTGAAGAGCGCACCCTTCTCCATGAACCCCGCGTGGTATCCATTCTTGAGTACGCCAGTAGTACTCCTTTACCAGACATCTCCAGTGACGAGGAATCCTCCGACGATTCATCCGACGACTCGTCGCTATTCTCGTCGGTCAGCAGCTACAGCACCTTCACTACGGTGGCGTCACCATCTCCTGAGCTTGACCAAGTCATTGACAGAGTTGAAGACTCCGCCTACTTACAAGCTGATGTCGAGGACGACACGAGCGCTCTTGCCGAAGTCAAAGCCTGTCATGGTGCAGTCTCGGCAGAGCAACCATCCTCCATTGAGCCTACAAGGGCCCCCCAGAATGACGACGGTGCAACTGATCTGCCCGTTACCGAATACACCAACGAGGATGACAACGACAACAACGGCGTCGTCCACGTTGCCGCCTCCAGTGTACATGAGAACCAGCCCAACACTCATGAACAGACACACTCGACAGATTCCACAGACTGCGATGTCAGTACTAGTGGGCAGTTGATCGTCCTTGGAGCAGCATCGCAAACCGAAGCGATGGAAGTCTGCATCCCAGAACCTACTCATTCTCGTCCAGTCGACTCTCAAAACATGCGGCCAGAGTTCAGCCAGATCATGGACGGGATAGAGTCACCGCCAGCTTCTCGCGATATCTCCAGCGTGGTACAAGACGATATGGACGATGTCCAAGTCACTAGCCGCGTGGATACCGAGGAGCAGAACATGGTTGACGCGCCCCCGCCTGAGAGCACTACTGAATCACGAGCGAGATCCAGGGTCCAGGCAAATACAAACAATCATTGGTGGAACGGCAAGGTCGATTATCTGCTGGAGTTGATTCCTGATCTTCACCTCGCTCTGCAAAAAGCTCTTCCAATGATGGTCCAAGAGAGGCAGGCGAACCGGATTCCGGTCGAGATCCTTGACTATGTCAACAACGCAACATCTGCGAGAGGGCTTGGCAAGGCTCTCGAATCCGCCATGAAGAATAAGCTGTTGCATAACGCAGAGTTCAACAAGCTGGAGAAATACGCAAAAGGAGAGCGTGTTGTCATCCCAAAAGTCAGCATTTATCCTACGAAGGAGACTGGCTCCTCCCCGACTGCTGTCAATGCTACTGGGCAGTCAGCTAGTCCTCCCGCTGCACCTCAGACGTCGAACATCGGCGCCTCTGTGACGGGTCCGAAGGCTCTCATACATGAAGAGCCGACGACATCAGAGCCGGAGTCGATCAAAGAGCGATTCTCCAGACTCTTGTGTAACGCACGGACAGAAATGCTTAAAAACCCCAAATCTGCCTTGAAGAAATTTCAAGACCAATTCGATATCTCGTTCCAGAACCGATCGGACATAGATGTCATGATAGCTTATCTCATCAAGCATCCCCGATTCAAAGGACGCGATAGCAGTGGGCTACCCAAAATCGACATGGAAAAGACCATCGACATCATACAAGCTCTATACGACGACTTAAATCCTCACGGTAAGGAACAGATCGTCTGGAGGTGCATGGAAGCTCTGGCCGCACAAGACGTGAAGGTGGAGAACGAGGAACTCTCTAGGTATATAAGCTGCGCCCGTCGTCAGAAACCTCTCGAGATACTCTATCGAAGCATCTCAACGTCCAACTTTGCGCTGAAGGAGGCGGTGAATGGGGATGGCGCCCTCAGCTGGGATGACATGAAGGATCTCGCAAAGAAGGAAGAGCGCCATTACTTCGAGGATAGGTCGAGAGAGAGCAAACTACCTGAGTATCTGGCATATATGAAAGAGAAGGGGATGTATTGGAGCGACATGGCCAACATGAAGAATCTGGTCGCTCAACAGGTGGCTGATCGGGATTCGGCTACGGGCCAAGTCCCCGCCACAGATTTTGTTGATGGGTCAGAAGCGGCAGTTCCCTCCAAGGGCAAGCGCAGCCTCGCTGAAATTCCGCACGATGACGATGAGCAAGATTTGAAGCGGTTGCGAGAAGAGCCCGCTGAGCTCACTGAAGAGGAAGAGCGTGCTGCGAGGAAGAGGGGTGCACGAGGGCCTGCTGAGTCTGAGAGCAGCGAGCGCATAAAACGGAGTCGTGGTTGAATTCTTGGGATCAAGATCGTGTCTTTGGATGAGAGTGTTTTTTTTTTGGCTTATCTACTGTTCTTGTGTCTGGTTCCCGTCTTCCGGCGAGAAGCTCTTTTCTCAGTTAGCTCTGTTTACTTGTTTTTTGCTACATGAGCGTTTGGTTAGAGATATCCCAGCGAATGAAATAGTGTGAATAGTCACAACGATAATGTACTGTGATGTATTACGAAAGTTATCTTGTCTTCCACCTCTTCCGATAAGGTCAAATATCCAACTCCCATTCTTCATATTCTATCAGAACACACCCGACGCTCTATTGAACTCCACACCTCCTATCGGATGTTGGCGACAATTATGACAAATAGCAAATTATGATTCGTCTTTGACTACTTTTACGCCTAATTATCGCCTGCCTCAGAGCCATCGTCATGGCCATACGCCCCAGCAAAGCTTCGGTCAATCCCAAACCGCATATGATCATCCGTCGCGTCGTAAGCAGTAGTGTCGGGTGCATGAGCACTTAGCCAGAAGCCTCTAATGTGGCAGAAGATAAGTCCCCTTCTTGTACGCGGATCAGCTAGCTCTCTGCTAGGCACTGTTTGTGGGTTGCCGATCTGCGCTCCGTGATGGAATCGAGCTGCATGCTCGCAGAAGTCCGTCGAGATGTCAATTCTGGTGCGTATCTGTGGTGCTGCGTCCGGCATATCCATCCACGATCCTACGGACATAATGGGCGTGTTGAGTGACTGTAATAACCTCGCCACATCTTTGGCATCATAGACGTCGTCTGGTTCGAGATTGTACTTGCAGTCTTGCGCCATCAGGACCAGAAGGAAATATAGGCGAGCTGCTGTACGAGGCCAAACGTACTTATGGTAAGACCTTCTCTCGCCCGGATTTGGATCAGTGCTTCGAGTCAGCATAAGCTCGTCGCATTGTTGAAGATCGCAGAATGCAACGTTCGCATCCGATCTCCCTAGGCTCTCGAAGCAGATTAAGGCGCGCCAAAGGATCGGATCGGGGATGACACCGCGAGGGAATATGCGTGCAATTTGTACCATGTTTCGTGAGAGTAGCACAAATGGGTAGTAGGTAAACCTTGGGCGAGTGTAACCCAAGAAGGTAAGACATTGTGCCTTGTAGGCGAGTAGTTCCAAAGCCATGGTCGTGCGATCACGGTTGTCGTCCGGCAAGCCGAGCCCTTCGAGCAGATATCGGATGAGGCCAGTGATACGGGGAAGCCATGCGTCCACATACATCTCTCGTCCATCCGGCTCGAAAGCGTTTGCCATCTCTTTCCACAGCTTGACCAGAAATCCAGTGGAATCGCATATGTTGAGCAAACGCAGTAGGCAACCTCGCAAGTGGCGGTCCTGCAAGGCTTCAAACTGATGGCGTGGATCAGCCATAGTTGGCGGGTCGGGTTCGTAATCAGAGTAATCGTTAACAACGGACTCGTAATAAGATTCATTCTCCCAGTCCCGGTCAGAATAACCATCTTCGGAATTCGAAACAGGAAAGACCTCGTCATCTTCAGAATCAGAAACAGGAAAGACCTCGTCAGAATCAGAGTCAGACTCCGCCCCAAAGAGAATGCTTCTGCACTGTGGACACGTGCCCTTGCTGTCCGACCGTTGCAGCCACGTCTCGAGGCAAACCCTTCCGAACACATGTCCGCATGCGCGAATTTGATGCGGCCAATGAGCGTTGTCGAATGGTTCTCTACAGATGTTGCATTCGGCGCGCTCGAGCCCGTGGGCAAGGAAATCGTCGCGATCGCTGAACGGGAGCGGGTTCATTTCGGGGAACTCCAGCGTCGGTGAGGGACTGTGGCTGAGTCGAGTGTGGGTGCGCTCGCGCTTGTGTCTTCAGGGACAGATAGGTATTGTGGAAGGGTGGCAAGCGTTGCGAGTCTCGCCTCTTTGTCAACAAGCACAATGTTTTATTTTGACTGGGTCATCAGCTTCGTGTGTTGAACGTCACGCGTCTCTCGCGAACTACAAAAGGTCATAGCGTGGATTAGCAAACGCTGCGATGACGTAGAGGGATACTGGTGGTTTTCGTAAAGTTGTACTGATTGTAATGTTGGAAAATCGAATGCTAGTACGCTGGAAATGACGAGAAAAACACAGGTATGTATGATACTGACTGAACGCCATGTATGCTACGCGACCAGCCATTAACGGCGCCGAATGCGAATCGCTCGAATGCATATATCTAGCTGCCAGCGTGGCCTGTAGGACCTTGGGAAGTGTCTGCAAGATGTTAGCATTATGTCCACAACCACTCTTCTCTCGATCAGAATACTCACAATCCATAGTAACAAAAGCGCGGTCGACCTCGTTCAGGCCCTCTAGACAGTACTGCAGGGTCTCTGCAATGTCATGGCACTTCCTCAGCGGCGTCTCCTCTTTCATGAGCACATCGATCTCCACACAGACACCATCACCCGCATGGTAGCACTTGAGACTCTTGAAACCCTCGACGAGGGGCGAGAAGCGGTATGCCATGTACATCATCTTGCGCTCCACACGGTCACTGGCCTGCTCACCGGTCAAACGGGTGACGTTCTCGAAGCAAGTGCAAGCCCAGTCGTAGATGATGAAAAGCGAAAGGCAAGCTGCGCCGAGAGGATCGAGCCACCAGACGCCGACGTGGCCTCCAATGAGCGGGAACAGAAGGGAGAGGGTGTTGAAGATGACGTCTGCTTTTTGTTAGCCAATGGTTTTGAAGAGGCGAAGGGAATGAGCCTACCAGTCTTGCAGTCTTGGGCCAAGGCCTGTACTTGTGTTGTCTTGACCCTTGCGCATCCTACCCAAATGGTACCCTTGACGACGATTGTAGCCACCATGGCGAAGATGGCAGCTGGTGGCAATTGGGACACACTGTGGTCACCACTTGGCAAGAGCTTCTTGACCGATTCTTGCAAAATCTGGAGGAACGATATGACCATGAGGATGGAAAAGACCAGGATGCCAATTGGTTCGAGACGTCGGCGGCCGATTGGGAACTTCTTTCGCAAACCCTCCACACGCCAGCTTACAAGCTTGTTGGTAGTCCAGATGATGACGGTGCAGAGCAAGTCAAGGGCCGAATCGACGAGGGATGCAATTAAGGATAGGGAGCTAGACCAAATGGCTGCTACACCCTTGGCCGCGAGGAGAAGGATATTTACGATTACGTTGATCTGGATTATGTTAGCTTGGGAAGGCTTGCTTCAAGTTTGGGACCTACATTGATCGCCCATCTCGCATGCTTAGCGGACTTTGCTCGCTTGTTGCGCTCCTCCTCGGGTAGAAATGGTTCCAAGTCCTCTCCGCTGTTACCCAATGGTCCCCGGTCTTCTGCCACGCCATCGCCATCGACATCTCGCGGGTTCATACTATCGACAATGTCGTCGGCGAGTGAAGAAACAACCATGTCGACTTCGGCCCAGTCGTCTAGGCGCTCGTTCTGTTCCTCGTAGAACCCGCGTACCTTCTTGTTCTTTATAGATTTCAGCTGAGGGTGGATGTTAGCATCTGTATGAGCAGTCCGGTCGTTTACAACATACGCTCTCGTCACTCTTCCTGTAGATTTCGAGCGCTTCATGGTCGATGTTGTCGATCAACTTCTGTTTCATCTCATTTGCACGGTTGTCTTTCACAGTTTGTTCGATCGCATCGCGAAATCTACGCTTCGGCTTGACGGGGGTAATCGCTCCATATCCACTCTCCAGGTCGACGCGCTGGTACTTGCTGAACTGTTCGACATTGTGGCGGCGGTTAACATTGCCGTTGCTGTTGTGGCTGTTGAGCACGTTGCGTCTGCCTCCGACCATTCTGTATGACTTTCGGGCCTTTAGGGGTTCTGGGGTATCGTTGTGAATGGGAGTAAGGAAGAGGATGCAGGCAAGGTTTGACAAGAGAGACAAGCATACAAGAGGGAAGACGCGACGCGCTGTCAAACCCTGGCAGCCAAGGTTCCGAGACTTGGAGGGCGCCAATGCGTAATAGCGCTGGAGAGCGCATCATAAATTGGAGGCGCCATACTCGATCTGGTGGCGTCCATGCATAAGACGGAGATTCTTGGTGGTGCTTGCTCCAGCTTGCGTCGAAAGGCGATGAAAGGATGCTATGACATCACTCCCCTAGCGTCGCGTGGAGGACGCGATCTCGGCACCTCCGCGTCCAGCTTCATCGCGTTGGGTGCTTGGCAGGTACCACTGCTGCACATCACCCCGCAAAGCCATGCGAGCCGTCTTTTCTTTTCGGTTAGATGCAGCTGTTCCTTCTATTCGCACCATGGAAGTTGCTCTTTGAAAAGGAATATCGATGGAGGCATGTCATGAAGCGGTGCATTGACGTCACGCGCAAAACCGGATGGCCATCAACACCAACGCCGTTGAAACACGTTCCGGCCATCGACTGTGCCGCTTAGCCGGAAGGCCCGAACCATACATTCGGTATACTTACCTGGAACAACACTCCAGGGACAGTAAAAGCGACATTCGCTCCATTCGATAGGAAACTTTTATCTCACCTATGAGTTCGATTTCCGGATAAAACCCGTATAGATCTGTCCGGCGCGGACCGACCTCGGCAGTCTTCGAAGGTCACATGACACAGCTGTTCGACCACGCCTGGGTCACGTGAGACATCCTTCGTCCCCGGGGCCACGTTGGACCATCGTCGAACGCTCCGGGTCCTGGTGTCTTCTCGTCGTTGCTTTGCGATAACATCGACATGCTACGGCATCGTCTGACAGTGCAGAAGTTGCCTAGACAGCCACAGCCAAGCAGCAATGGAACCGCCGGCCCTTGAGCCGCTTTACATAAGCAAGCCCCGCAAGTAATAGGCGTCGTATTCTCCGTATTAAGTTTGATAGGAGAAATGAAGCTCGCCAAGTGAAGCCGAGCACTTACGCGGGACGACGAACAAAACCAGACCTGTCTGCCACTGCACACCACATGTCCTGAGCGTCAGCAACAGCCCACCATGGCAACACCAACAGCAAACGTCGGCCGCCCAAACAACAATGCGCTACTGGCGCTGATGGCCGGTTTGGCCGCGCTCGGGTTCTATACGATGCGCATCACGACCGCGATGAACGATGTTCCTGTGGGCTTTCTAGAAACAGCAGCGTCGGGCGTTTTCCCAAATGGTGTGCCTATCAAGAAGAACTACACGGGCATCCACTTGGTGGACGAAGGTCTGTCTTTCCTGGTGGCTGCCTTTCTAGCCGGCCCGATGCGATGGAACGAGCCATACTACTGGCAACAACTTTATTTCCTCATACAAATCTCGGCCCTTGTCACGATCAACAATGTGGAGGCGTACCGGCAGCGAAATCAGAATAGTTGGCTGAAATAGTAAGTTTGCCAACGTAGAAATTGGCGAAACCGCAGGTAGCTGACGTTACTCAGTATTTCCATCTGGGCCTTCGTCTATCAGAATGTTGGAGCAGCTTGCGTCGTCACTATCTGGTGGCTAGTCCTCCATCGCGTCTCGCAGCCCAAAGCCTACTTTGAGAGCGGACGCACCGTCCCGTTGCCTTATGCGCGCGTGATCCTACCGGGCGTTTTCCTATTCTACGTTGTGCCTACGGTCGCATTGTTCCTTCCCGACCAAAGCGCAGACAGGATGCAAAACCTCCTAGCATTCTGGCAATTCACACCCATCCTTACCGGCATCCCCATGTGGCTCGTCTCCCTCTCCGGTACCTCGACGACCGTCACCGCGAGCAACAGGAATGCGGATGTTCGACATCTCAAAGTCCTCTACGCTCTCCTTTTCGTCCTTTGTGTGGCAACTCATTGGTACGCCATCCGTGGCATTTCCCTATCGACAGACCCCGATGTTACGTACGCCCGCGTCTTCCTACCCAGTACCTATACCTGGAAGAGGAACGCTGATTGGGGCTTGCTGTTCATCTTCCAGTGGGATTGGCTCATCATCGGACTAATGTACATTATCCCGTCGTGGGTCGCGGTGTGCGATGTGCAGCGGATGAGGAACGGAGAAGCCACGCTCGAAAACCTCTTTGAGAGCTTCCTTGTTATTGCGGCCCTGACGGGTGGTGGTGGTCCGGGCGCGACGCTTGCCGCTGTCTGGTTCTGGCGAGAGGCTGCACTGGCAGAGATTGAGATTGCATCGGGGGCGAAGAAGGTGCAGTAATTGCGGAAATCGAAAGAAAGTTGCTAGGAGATCAAGACGCATTGTCGATTATGGATCACTAATAACGAAGAGCAGAGTAACCATCAAGCCTATAGCTATCACTTTTTCGAATCAGTATCCCAACTACCTGTATTACCTATGCCAATATCGGCTGCTATTCATTCGCATAACGTCCTGCCATCACATTCATAATCCCATTCCCCTCTCGCTAATCTCATCATCCTCAACACCAGTACCTTCTACGATTGTTCGTC